AGCATTCATTTAAAAGTCAACTCTAATTGCAGCACTGTTGGTAATTCAATTGAATACAAAATGCTGGTGTCAACTAGCATGTCAACTATTAAATGGTAGGTGAGCTTTACACTGGAAATGAGCATCTCATAATATGAGTTTTATGCATTTATGTTCATACATGCATATGTGTTTGTGTATTTTAGAAAATTCAAGCTAAATTTGGCGCTAAAATTGTGTTCATGTACTCGTATTTACAGTTAACTCGGTGGTAAAATTTGTTTCGTTTTCATTTGGGCAATGAAAAGTGTCTCTGGCTCATGCAATTTAAAGAGTTCTATTTTTCTTTGATGCTCCTGACGTCAATCATCAAGACTGTGAGGAAAATGTTGGTGCAAACTAAAGCTAATTGATATAAGGTGGTTTTTACCGGAGCAACTGATGTCAAGGCGAACTGTGCTGATTTTCAAAATGATGTGTTTGTTGTACATTTTGTACAAAGCTGCAGGAATCATATTTTCAGGCGCCCTTATAGCTTTATAGCTGAGCTTGAAGAAAAGCTTAGTTCCCAACTTGTCCAAGGTCCAACTTTCAAAAGAGATTAATGCTCATTTCAGATTGGAGAGCAGGGAGAGATTGAAACAAAATGTCATTCTCGTTGTTTTGTTCCCAAGAACACTTAAAAACCTAAACCGAAATGAGAACAAACCCTTAGGGAATGTTTTCACAAGAACGAAAGTGAGAACAAAACTATCTACAATGTTCTCAATGGGCATTATATAAGAACAAAAACCTGTGGAATGTTTCGAAAGTGAACAAAATGCGAACAATACTTTAGAGAATATTTCTAAGAGAACAAAATGGCTACAAGGTCCCTGAAACGTTGTGGCAAAAATAAAACGGGAACAAAAGTCTAAGAAACTTTCTTTCGAAAAACATTTTGGGAACTAAATTCTGAGTAACGTTCCGACAGAGAACGAAACCTTTCACCGTACTAGATAGGGAGCCGTAAACGTAGCACAACTTATTGCACCCGTAAAATTACTGGGCTGAGAAAACTGATTCTGGACTTGTACGGTTGTCAAACTCACCAATCTAATTATCCGAGTTAAGTCGAGGAGAGATTTAAAATACGAACATTTCTTTTACCGTAAATGAAGAATTGTTCCATAAATGGACAGTTAGTTCCCCCTATAATAGACGAACTGCAAGTTGAAATCATCCAGCTTTCCTCTGGCTTAGAACTAACAATCATGGTTCTCGCTGAAATGATTTGTCATCAGAACATGCCCCTCTCATTCTTAACGATAAGTTCTCAAAACGTTTGTTCTCTTTTTTTTTCTTATATGATCCTCGTTTCAAACGTTCTCGATACTTTCATTCTAATTTTGTGCTCATTGGAAACGTTCCCCACAGTTTAGTTCTCATTCTGTTCATCTTGAGAATGTTCCAGAGAGTTTTGTTCTCATTTTGTTCTTCACGGAAGCGTTCCCGAAACTTTGGTTCTCACTTTGTCCCCGTTCAAACTGCAGCCAATAGTTTTGTTCCCATTTGGTTTTCTTATCGGAACGTTCTTGATATTATATTTTGTTCTCATGCAGAACTAAACGACAAGCGGAACGCGTTCCCGCTTCCTGTTGGAGAGTCTTATTACTACTCTTATGAGAAAGTTCTATCTACTGCCCTAGAAAAATTTCCAATATAGTGGTTGTAGGAGCTTTCTCCGAAGAATTCAACTTAATAAAATTCGGTTATATTTCTCCCACATACTTCGAATTAACTGCATACTTTTCCTGAGGATATTTTGTCCTACGAAATGACAAATATATTTTAAGCCGCAATAAGAGAGTTCTACGGTCATGAAATTCTAGCCGACAAGACAATTTTGGGTATTTGCGGATGATTTCAATATCACGACGAATACCTATAAGAACCAGCCATGTGACCTCGTTACAAACGTTTCAACCCCGTTTTCATAGGGGTGCTTAACACCCACCATCACTTTGTTGATTTTACAGCCGCCTTCGATAGCATGAAAATTAGTTGCGAGTTGGGATGGCGAATAACGTAGATTTTGGAAGAATGAGTTCTACATACTAAAAACTAAACTAAAAAAAACGACGGCTTCGCTGGTGGGGTTTGTGAAAGAGAAAGACCACCGCTGCCATGGAAAATGTTGGTTTTTCTTATAGCTAGCATACTACGTTGAATTTAAAAAAAAGTAATTATATAACGGCTAAGTTTCATCACATATCGTACAGATGAATGAAAAACTGGGGAAAGTACATATGGTCAAAGGAAAGTGATGAACTCTCGCTACTCAAGTATTCGAGCGGAATGCAGCCAAACTCTTTAGTTTATAGTCTATAGTTTACGAAAACTGAAATAAAGACCGTGTAATTTTTATTAATCTAAAGGAAATGTCTATTTGCTACAATCGATAAGAGTTGTTGATATACATAGTAAATACGTATGTATGTATGTATGTATATTCGTAGAAATATCGATGATTTTATTTAGTCTATTATTATTACATTAACCGATAACAAAAATCAGATAGTTTTATTGTCTTATTCGTATTTTTATTGATAAAATGCTCTGTTGGTAATAGATATGAACATGTTGGCACTTATTTTCAAAACTTTTCGCTCA